AGGAACAACTGTAATAATCTAAAAAATAAAGATTTAATTTAAAAAAAAAAAGAATCTCACCCTCTGACTTTAACCTATTTTTTCATCCTTCATACTCCAAATTTGACTATTGTACTATTTTGTCCAAACTCTCATACTTTCCCCATATTCAAATCTCTAAACACTCTATTACCTTCAGGTAAAATAGCCATCTTCACCTCCACCAATCAAAATTTATCTAAACATCAAAACCCTGCTAAAATGCTCCCACCTTTAATAATTCTAATTAGAAAGTTCTTCCAGGATACTTTTTTTTATCATTTAGTTTTGGACATTTAATTTATTTTTACTTACTGATTTTTAATTGAGATATAACATTGTATGAGTTTCAGGTTTCACCATGCTCATTGACACACTCATATACTGCAATAGTTACTCCTGCAGCGTTGGCCTACATTTCCGCCACCTCTCTTAGCAGCTTTCAAGTATAATACAATATTGTTAGCTATAATCACCATGCTATACATTAGGAACCCCACCCCTACCCCCCCAGAATATTCATCTTATAATTGAAAGTTTGTACTCTGACCATCATCTCCTCATTTCTTCCAAATCCTCAGGCCCTGGTAACCACCATTCTAATTTCTGTTTCTGAGTTTGGCTTTTTCAGATTACACATATAAGTGATATTACACAGCATTTTTCTTCCTCTGACTTATTTCATTTAGCATAGTGCTCTCAAGGTCTGTATTGTCACAAGTGGCAGAATCTCCTTTCTCAGGATGGAATAACATTCCATCATGCGTATATACCATATCCTTATTACCCATTCATCTCTTGACCAACCCTTAGTTTGTTTCCATATAATGGCTGTTATGAATAATGCTTCAATGAATATCCTGATTTTATTTCCTTTGCATATATACCCACAGTGGGATTGTTGGATCACACGGCAGTTCTACATCTAATTTTTCAAGAAAACTCCATGGTGTTTTCATAGTGGCTGTATCAGTTTATATTCCCACCACAGTGCATAGGGTTCCCTTCACACCACATTCTTGCCAACACTTGTTATCTCTTGTTTTTTGGATGATAGCCATTCTCACAGGTGTGAGGTGATACCTCATTTTGGTTTTGGTTTCTCATGATAGTTCTAATTAGAAGTTTCCTCTCTCTCTCTCTCTCTCTCTCTCAATGTCCATAACATATTACCTTGTAGGTCTCTCTGGTAGCATAATGGTCCCCAAAGCTGTCTACACCCTAATCCTTAGAATCTAACCTACAAGCATGGCAAAGGGACTTTGTAGAAACAACTAAGGTTAGGAATCCTGAGATAAAGTATCCTGTGCTATTCAGGTGGACCCAAAATAATCATGTGAGGTCTTCACAGCAGAGAGCTCTCTCCTTCAGGAGTCAAAGAAATGTGGCAGAAAGAGGGAGCGACTGGAAGCATGAGAAGGACTCTCACTGCCATTGCTGGCTTCACAATGGAACTGCACGTGGAAAGCATGAGAATGAAATGAGTCCTGCAAAGACCAAGGAGCTTGTAGAAACCCTGAGTCCAAGACAGAATTGCAGTCCCAGCTGCCACCTTGATTCTAACTAGATGTTAACTTTGGAATCCACAAAATGCCAATCTAAAGAGCATTAAGGGACATTCTGACATTATAATGGAACTAGAGGCCCAGTGCACTAAATTGGTGGACAGGTAGGTCCCTAGGCCTGGCTGGCGATTAGAGCCGATCTATGGGGCCTGGGGCCTGTGGGCTGGGGGCAGCTCCTGTGTTGAACGTCTGCCCCCTGGTGGTCAGTACGCATCATAGCAACTGGTCATTCTGCCAGTTGTTCTGCTGTTTGGTCAATTTGCATATTAGGCTTTAATTATATAGGATTTTACTCAATCAAACTAGAAATTACAGCTAGAATTAGAGATGAAGCAGGCACTCAGTCTCTGTGCAGAGTTAGGAAATGTGAAAAGTGATGGGCATAGTGACAATCAAGACATGGAAATGCATTGAGCTCATGGTAATGGTGTCAGTAGAGATAGAAACATAAACATGTGTTTTCTCCTCAAAAGAACTAAGGAGGTGGGTGTGTGTGACCCAGGCACAGGTCAATTCACCTTTTCTTCCCATTTACAAGACACTGGGCCTATAATCAATCACTATTTTTAGGAGGAGTGATTAAATGGATGGGAATCTGCAGAAAGCACATGGTTTACAGAATTGTTCATCACAGAGGTTATTGTAACCAGAGAAACATATTGTCTTCATTATGGATCATAAGAAAACTTGCTCATTTCCATTGAATTTTTTGGCTGTGATGCAATATTACTTATGTTTTTGCAAGATGACACAAACGGTATCTTGGTGAACATTTTTGGAAAGGGTTCCTCATTGGTGAAAAAAGGCAAAGATTTTCTCTGGGTGACTCTAAATCATGCTAGATTTCCTTTCACAAATTTTTGTTGCTATCAATTTGGCCTGTAGGCATTTCTGGGAACATCAGCATCACATAAGAAATCACCGTATTTCTGTAGGTCATGTGAAAGCCTGGGGGGGATAAGTCATATTTCTGAAAAGAGAGGTCATAAGTGTCATGGGATGTTCCAAAGGGACTGCAACCTTTAACAATTTCAGAAGCCTTGCGTTGGAGCCTTAACTCAGGATGCACTAGCCTTTTATTCCCAGTTGAAACGGTAACATGGCCAGTGCTTCATGGTCCTGAGAGTGGATGGTCATGCTTGACCTTCTGTGGCAGGAGAGAGTTAATAAAATAAACACACACACTTTTTAAAAATGATATTGTGACTGGTGAAGACCAATGAAATAAGCCATCCTTTCTTTTTGCTCTTAAACTTTTTAACAAACTTTCCACAATGATGCTCATTTGACCTTTGTAAGACAGGTAGATGTAATTCATGGTAAGCGGGTAAGCAGAATTTTCTGATCATGTGAGACTCAGTATAAAGAAACAAATACATAATTTCAGCCATAATTACCGAATGGCCATCAGGCTGACAAACAACACATGCTTAAATCCTTTAGTGGCACTCGTGACTCCCAGAATAAATTCCAAATTCCTTCCAGTAGCTTTGTGATCTAAACGCAGTCTAAGCCTCCAGGTTTATCTCTAACAGGGTTTCTTAACCAAGGCACTTATGACTTTGGGGCCAGATAAATCTTTGTTGTAGGACTGCCCTGTGCATTGTGGGATGTTTAGCAGCACCCTAGGCCTCTTCCCCACACTCAGTTGTGGCAACCAGAAGTCTCTCTAGGCACTGACAATGTTTCCTGGGGTCCCAACTCCCCCCTGGCTGAGAACCACCAGTTTATAGTATTTTACAGCCTTCAACTTGACCCTCCCGCCATAATGAACTCACGGTTTCAGAGCACACACTGTTCTTTCTCCTCTGTGCTTTCTTACCTTCCATGCCCTGGATGAGTGCAATACTCTCCCCCTCCTTCATGCCCAGTGCACTCCATCCTTCCTCAGGGCTAACTGAGAAGTCTGAGGAGGTAGGTAGAAGAGTTGAACATTTGCTTGTCTGCATCTCATTAAGACATAAGTTGCAAAAGGTCAGGGATCATTACTGAGTTCTTCACCAGGGTGTCCTCATTGCCTGGCACGTATTATGTGCACAATAAACAGTTGTTGAAAAAACTAACATTTGAGCCCAAGCAAACATTAGTCAAAACGAACCCAGTGTTACTTTAAAAACAAAAAACAAACAAACAAACAAAAAAAACCATTTCCTTGTATGGTTACTATGATTTTAAAAAATAACCTTGGAGAAAACCTAGTATAACATGTCAAAACACATCACTGTTTCAACTCAATTCTTCCCATGCTTTTGACCTTTATAAATCTTCTTAGTGTAATTCATTTTATATTTAAAACCTATATTTTATCACAGTTTGGCAGATTCTGTTTGCTGCCTATTAGTACAGTAAAGGTCACGTCATGAGATGAAGCCTGGTGGCAGAAAACACAGTAATTTACCAACGGGAAACAGGAAAAGTGGCTTCATTTCTTATGTTGTCCTACAGCTTTTACCTTGGGGTTGATTTTTAAGTTATTATTCAAACTTGAAAAATTATGTTTGGGATGAATTCTGGAAAGTACACAAAAGAGAAAAATTACTTAGAAGTTCAACTCTAAAACCATTGTCATTTTACACAATTAAATAGTAGAAAGGTGCTTAAAATCCCTTGGTGTCAAGGGATTTAAAAAGCTGCAGAGTAAAAGCTACTACTTAAATAGGTACAGACCCCATAGGCTATCTATGTGTTTTTACTTTGTTCCTTAATACTAACATTTTCTTTCTAATGATAAAGGAAAATTATTTCTGACACTATTTTATGTCAGATAAATAATTGTTTGATGTGCAACAAATTGGATACAAACTACAGTCCATTCTTGATAGTGCTGTGCGGGACCCAGGGCCATGCTTACAGTAATTATCTAGGAGGCACTGATTCTCATTTCAAGGACTTCTCTATTAGAAACAAAGCAAAGTCACCCATCAAAATGATTTACTAAGTGTGCACTTTCTGAAGCATCCGAGGAGGGAAGCAAGGACTGAAACACAGCACTGGCTTGGAGAACTACTAATCTGGCAAAGGATAAAAGACATGTACACAAAGAATTATACTTTAGAAAAAGCAACACAGGCATTAAAATAAGCAAAATGCCACGTGAATTTGAAGACAATAGAGACAATATCATTCTGTGTGTCTGAGTCTTATGCTGACTCTGTGTGTGTGTGTGTGTGTGTGTGTGTGTGTGTGTGTGCTTATGTCTGTGCCTCTGGGTGTTTGTAAGAGGGTTGTTTCAGAAAGCAGGGCATTCTAGATTAAATAACGTGTTTAAAGCAATATTTATATCAGGCATATTTTGGTAACAGTGAGCAGAGACTATATTTGGAGGTAAGGACTAGAATATTTGGTGCCATACATGTCACAGTAAAGAATGTGTCTTCACCTTGGTTGACAGTCTTCACCACATTTGAACAATACTTTTCTCTATCACACTAGTATTGAGTCATTCAATAATTGGTGGTAGTGAGGTGGGTGTGTGAGGGGTAGAGAAAGAGGGAGGGAAGAAAAGGAGGAGATGGGGGCATTCACTAATATGGAGCCACTAGACATGTTTATATCAGAATACTATAACTCCAGCTATATTGAATAAATCACCTGATTCTAAGGAACTACAATATATATTCAAATTTCGCCTCTCAAATGTTTCCCATCTCAAACAATTTGGTTCTTGACTAAGTTGTTCATGAGAAAAAATGTCTCTTTGAACAAAACTTTGGTTCTCAACCTGACAACCCTTTCATGCTAATAGGTCAGCATGACAAAAAGCTTCTCTCAGGCCACAAAGAAAAGAAAGAGAGAATGCAGTCAGTTTACCTACCGCTAAACCTCGGGTTGTTAACATCTCAGGAAATTTTGCTGTGAATATATGTTTAGTGCTTTTTGCTTTTGTTGCTGGTGAAATGGATGATTAGCACAATTTTAAAACATAAAGAGGCCATCACAAGTGCTAATGTTGATAAGGATGTGAAAGAAACAATGATCACAGGCCATTGAAAAGTTAGAAAAACTGCTATTGATTTGGATAAGCAAAAAGCAGTTAACCCCTGACAGCACTTCAGAGGCAGTGATATCTGAAAAAGCCAAGATGCCCATGCCGACTATCTAAAAAGACACCCCTGGAATGAGAGCTGAAAGTGATTCCTTTGGGTTCTGGAACTAATTAATTCATTTTACAGTATTTCTAGTGGAAAAAAAATGATTTGTGTTGTTGTTTTTTAACAAATCACTTTTCAAACAGCCTTGCAGAACGAAGTAAGTTTGAGAACCGAGGTTCCACTGTACATGTTAGAGTCTCCAAAGATAGGGACCCCAGTAATCTGTAGTAAGGTCTTTGGCCAAATACTAATTTATGTATATGTAGGTGAAACCTAAGAAGGTGAATAAACAATTCCTGGAGCTCACACACAGCTGAGAATCTCAACTGCAACCATATGGTCTTCAGCTGAGCTTTCAGATGAGACCACAGCCCTGGCCAACACATGATTGTAGCTTGAGGACAGAGCTGGAAACAGTGGCACCCAGATAAGTCAGACTCCTGACCGTCAGAAACGATGAGAATATTTATTGTTTTAAGCTGTTAAGATTGTCACATAGTAGGAGATGACTCCTATTGGCAATAGATAAGCTCCTATTACTCCTATACTATCACATGGTATTTTAATTACTTGTACATCATTTCCTTCTCAATATTATTGATTCCCTCAGGCAGGAATCACTGTGTGTCTCAGTGCCTAGCTCATGACTGACACATCACTCCCATGATACTGATAGTAGAACTAAACTTAATTGAACTATTTATCAAATGACCATCACAGTGTTATTTAAAGTGGAGATAGACTGTCCTGGTTAAAATTTTCCCACTTCATTCACCCACTGTGCGATCTTTAAAAAGAATCTTAATCTTCCTACAAGTCTGTTTCCTTATCTGTAATGAGAATGATAATAGTACCTACCCCACGGGGTTGTTGTAAAGCTTAGATGAATTAATGTCTTAAGGCCTTAGAACAGTACCTACCACACGGTTAGTGTTCAATGAATCTTACGTATTATTTCTTATATATTCCTGGGATCAATTGAATGAAGGAACTCAGGATGTATAATTTGTAATGACATCAAATTTATGTGGATTGCAGTGCTCTAAAAAGCAGTCATATATTTTTAAATTCTAATTCCCTTCCACAAATATTTTAAAACACCCAACTGTGTAACCAGGTACTGCACTAGGGGTTGAGAGAAGAGATATGGGTAGGTCACAGTCACTGCCCATAAAAAGGTCTTGTCATTGTCCTCAAAGAGGTTACAGAGATGAACACCGAACCCTGCAAGTGGTATGTTGGAGCATTCATAGGGCGCTCTGTGGGGAACAAACGGGTGGCACTTTACTCAAACTGGAGAACGCTCTTAAGTACAGCGACAATTGAGGTTTTCCTTACATGACAAGCAAAAGCACCCAGTAGAGAAGAGGAAGGAGGGTGCACCAATGCTCAGGCATCAAGGCATGAAAATGTATGGTGGGTTCACAGAAATGCAAGCCGTTTGGTCTGACTGTAATGGAGTGCCCGGGTGGGCGTGGTGACAGCACATTTCTCCATTCCCTATACTCTTTCTGATTCATGTGAAGGAATGGGTGCCTTTCCTGATATTTCTAATTTCCAAAATAAAGTTAAAATCCCACATGTTTTAGAATGAAGCAAAATCTTGTTATTTACAAAGAAATAAGAATTAAACTAGCATCATACTTCTTATCCATGAGACCAAATGCTAGAAGATAATGAAGAAATGCCTACAAAGTCCTAAGAATAAAGATTATGAATTTTCACACTCAAGGGTAAAGATAAAACAAAAACATTTTCTGATACATGAGGACTGAGAAAGTATACTACCCATGAACCTTTATGAACATCACTTGAGCATACCCTAATATAACATAAAACAACACACAAAAAAGAGAAAACTTTCTGATAAAAAAAAACAGTATATAAACCATGCATACATTTCTCCTGATCATCCTCAGCCATCACCAAAATGATGGTTAAAAGATTTTATTTATACATGCAAGTATATATACTATGTTTGCATGTATAAATAAAATGGTATATATATGCCATAATATATAATAATAAAGAAAATGGGATAGGGAACATAAAGACATCTGACCTATGACTTACCAATGATAGTGATATCATTGTAATTAGCTAGTTATTAATATCTAGAGGCTCAGTGCATGAAATTTGTGCACAGGCGGGGGGGGTCCCTCAACCCGGCCTGTGCCCTCTCACAATCTGGGACCCCTTGGGTAGGGTCCCTAGGCCTAGCCAGTGATCAAGGCCTATCGGGGCTTTCCTTTCCTCGGCTGCTGGCAGCTGGCCCTGTCCCCATCACTGCCACTGCTTGCCATCTGTATGGTGCTGCCCCTCGCTCCCCCGCCACCACCGGTCGCCTTCCTCTGTGGGGGACAGGCATGGGGTGTGATCACTTGGCTGGCCTGGGCCTCCCTCTGCAGGGCAATCACTGGCTGGCCCCACACACCCATCACAGCATCGCTGGCCAGTGGCCTGGGCCTCCCTCTGTGGGGCGATCGATTGTGGGGCCCCCAGACAGATTGCTGTGTAGAGGGAGGCCCTGCCCATTTGGCCAGGGCTCTGCAATTGATCGCTGCATGAAGCAAGGCCACGTCCATCCGCTGCAGGCCACCGGTTGTTTAGCCTAGGCCTCCCTCTGTGGGGCGCTCGATCTCAGAGCCTCCCATCAATCGCCCCACAGACGGTGGCCTGGGTCTCCCTCTGTGGGGCAATCTTGGGGCAATGGTGGGGCCCCTGAGATGAATCACATCGCACCCGCCTTGGCTGGCCTGGCACCAGTGTGTGTCATTGCGTGGTCGTCCGGAAGGTCGTTGGAGCGGTTGTTCTGCTGTTCGGTCGTTTGGTCGATTTGCATATCATGCTTTTATTATTATAGAAAGGAAGGCCAGACATTATAGGCATGTCATTTGGGCAGCTTCACCAGGAAGCTGCAATTTCACACTCCCCAGGGAACACAGGCTCATTCCCTGCAGATCACTGTGGGGGAGGAGGTTCAGCAAAAGGAAGATGGATGTATGCCCAATAAAGCTGGGATGACATAGGGAAGGTACGTGTTTGCCAGCTACACCTGGGAACAGAAATCATTGGCCAGAATGGGCGTGGTCACTGCAAGCATGCCAACATTTGGGAACACATAATCCCCTAAACAAAGGAGTGTGCTCTCTTGTTGCTCTTGGTTGTCTTGTTGCTCTTCGCTTGTGGCTTGCTCTTTGCTTCCTTGCCTTGGTCCCTATGATGTACGGCCATGTGGACCCCACATGCAGTGGACTGATGGACTGCAGCAGGACACAAGCTAAGCCAGCCTGATGCTGGACTGGACCTGTATCCAACATGGAAAGGAAACTCTGGGCCCTGGCTCTGATTTTAGTTCTACTGAAACCCAGCCTACAATGATATACTCTTAATATACTCTTCTATGACTGGACTAAGGAAAACCCTGGGTGTAATTCCATGGAAATAGAGCTTTCACCATATCTCATCCTCCCATGGGGCCTCTGTAAATGCTTATTCCAGTGGTACCCCAAGAACCCCACTTCCACAAGCAACCAGGGAGAGAGCCCCTCTCCTATCCTGTGACAACAGCACTGCAAACTAGACATAGCAGTAGCTTCAGTATGATAAGGAAATTATTTTCAACATAGAATTTTTGTTCTCAGTAAAATTATTGATCAAATGCCAAAGTAAAATGAGGACACCTGCAGATAAACAGGGATTTAATAAAATTTACATCCAAGTGTTCTTTTTTAAAGAAAACTATTAGAGAATGTGCTCATGTAAAATCAGGCAGAGGTCAAGAAAAATGAAACAGTAAACCCAAAACAGCTGAGTAGAAAAAGAGAACTTTGGGGACAGAATATGGGGAACTCTGGGATGCTGGAGGCCTCCAGGAAAGAAGAGCAGGAGAGGAAGAGAGAGAGAGAAGGGCATTTAGAAAAATAACTTAAGTGTGTGTATTTAAATTGGGGTAATATTTTTTCTTTTTTCATTCAGGAATTTTTCCCTAGCCCCTTGAATTTAACTGTCTCCTACAGGTGGTTAGAATTTTTTAGAGAATGAATGCAGAAAAAAATAGTTTATGGCATGCAAATTAGGATTATGCAGCAAGAAAATAATCTTGCAAGCCCAGCTTCTCTCTTAAAGGACAGTCCTCCATTCCTGTACGGGTCACTTCACCTGACCAGGTGCCAGGCTTACCCACCCAGAACAGAAGTCTCTGTCGGACAGGACTCCAGGGGGCGGGAGATGTGGTGACAAGTACAGTGGAAGGAAAGGAACTGAGTGGTCAAGAGGACTGTCAATAGTCTCTTCTGGAAGAGGAGGGGCTGTGATAGCCATGTAGCAGAGGAGCCGGGGCTGCCCCACACCGACCGGGCACAGAAGCCTTGACTGGCAGGACAGCCTGGTCCAGCAGAGATAAACCTGGGTGTGTTCATCCAAGAAATGAAAGGCTCCTGAAAGGGAATTGTTACACTTATTGGATCAAACTTCACTTTAAATGAATGGGGACATTTTATTAATTTCCCCCCACTCCCCAGTGAGTGGGGACCTGGAAGGAAGGCCTGACTGGGTATAAATAAATATTCCCTATATATGTAAGTCACGGTACTAAAATTTTGTGACCTGCTTCATGCTGGATACATGTCCTTTAGTTGCCAAGATGGTTTCCTGTCTGTGATTAAAATATATTAGTTTCCTTCCCCATCTCCGTTAATTTCGCCCTCCTCCACTACTACATTAGAAAACAGATGGAATTAGTGCAAGTGTACCTTGCTTGAATGAAATGAAAATCTAAATTCTCCAAAGAGATTTGCTGTTTAGGACAAGTGTATGAAAACGCAACACTGATAACTATTCCCCCCTCTGCACCCCACCCCTTCTCATTTCAGTCAGGGGCAATGCTTCTGCCCAGGGCTCAGCTCATGCTCCCAAACAAAAGACAAGCCTTCAGAAACGCTGGTGCAACAGGCTGCAAGTGTAGCAGATAAGCAATGACCTCATCATGCATATTGCACATGTGTAGGAAAACACCAGCTCTTTCCATCTGTCCATCTTTATCTGCAGCAAATTGATTTCACAACTTGTACACATGTGAAATGCCAAGCCCCATGGAAAAATGTTTGCCAATCCTGCTAAGCCTCAAAGTATCTTTCCAAACAATGGGAAACTGTGGAGTCAGAAAGTCCCAGGCGGAAAAACAAGCTCGTGGTGAGGAGGAGGGGCATCCGTGCCTCCTCGTGATGCAATGAAGGCCTCCGTCTGCCAGGCACCGCCCTGCTGGGCAGGCATACCCTCAACAGCAAACGCAGACCCAGGCCCTGCCCTGGGGGCTGCCAGTCCCAGTCGGGGCGGGGGGGGGGCGGTTTTTTTTTAGGACCGGTGCACGCTGCCGGGTGCACAGGTGTAAGCGACTTCAGGCAACATTCATTCACCGACAGAGTGCCTCTGAGCCATCCAGTTGGTTAGAGAATGAGGGGTTCTGATTCCTTAAATCATGCGGTTATTCTATATGAATAAGCAGTTTTTAGAGTCAGAATATAAAATTTAAGTGAAGTAGTGAACAAAAGGTGCTCCCGAGTTCTCAGGAATCGGTCATTTGAGCATCAGTTTCCCCTCATGACGTGGCCTCGCTCCTTTCTCGGTTCAGTTCCCGGTTCTCCCAGGACCTCTGCTCTTGGCTCCTTAGAAAGGCGCCCCCCTCCCGCGCCTCGCGTGGGCCTCCAGCTTGGCTTCCCCCGCGCCCTCTCTGCACACTCCCTCGTGAGCACACACACACAGGCCTCGGCTCAGAGCTCGGATCGAATTGGGAAGGCTGCCAAGCCCACATCTTGCCTGACCCGTCACCTTCATTGTGTTTCCTGCCCCACGCCCGGCCATCATACCTAGTGATCCCACCGGCTCGGAGCTCAGCTCTTCCAACAGTGAGCTCACTCTCTCTACATCCCACCCGCTTCCTTCCCATCTGCCTTCGTCCTGGCCCCAGCGCGCTCTGCTTCTGCATAAACCACAGGCGTCCTCCTGGGTCCCCACTCGCTCCGGAAAGAATGTAACGCGTCCACTGTCCTTACAGCTACATTGGATCCCAGAAGTTTAACGTCCCCTTTCAGTTTGTTTCCTCGGCATAAAAATGGAGATAGTGACAATTGGCTGCAGGACCGAGACTTGGGTCCAAAAACATAGCATATACAAAAGCATGTTGGAAAGTAGAAAGCCATGCAAAAACAAGATGTTAGCCAGTAGCTCGTAAACGTTAATATCTTTTTCATGTGCGAGGTTATTGACATATATACATACAAATATGATAAACAGGATTTTGTCGTGCTGAACAGCAAATCGTATTTATACAGCTGAGTACCCAGGAAAGTATGATAGTATTTACTTTTGGAACAGTGAAATGGAGGGTGAAGAGAAGATTTTAACCATCTCCCTGAAACCTTCAAGACACACACACACACACACACACACAGATGCACCTACTAGCTGTATGTCACGTTCATGTATGACTGTAAACCTGTACAGCCACATGCCGGAACTGACTCCGGCTATAGTTCTACCGAGTGTTTATAAACTGTGGGCTACAATCGCCCCAGGCCTAAATGCCCCAGCCACATACTGCACAGCCTGGGGTTGCAATCCAGAGACGACGGATGAAATCCAGGAACCCAGGAATGACGGGGGGCAGGCCTAGGTGAAGGGCACCACCGCCCTAGCCTCTGCAGATGCACACACTTGGGGATGGACCCGGTCCTCCCACCTTGTGTGTGTGCTCTGATTAGTTCAACTGCTCTGCCTGTGGCTCCTGCCGTCACCACACCCACCACATACTTTCGAGAACACGGGATATTCCAGTCTTTATCACAAACCAGATGCTTTGGGTCAGGGGTGGGAACCAGATCTGGCTCTCAACAGAATTTCTTACGGCTTGTGGGGCAAAGTAGCAAGACGTTGCAAAAACTGTTAACATTTGCACTCTTGCAAAAACGTGAGGCCACAAAAAGTGTTCCTATTTCTCTCTGACTCACTATTTTTCTTTTTTCACTCTGCTCCTATTTGTAGGGGTGTTTTTCCTCAGTCCAGACTCTGCCTGTAGATTTTTGTGTGTCCATGTCTTTGTGGTTTTCACCACTTTTGGGTGGGATGGGGGTTCTGCAGAATTCTCCGCTGGGAATAGTCTAGATATGGGACAGGGTCTCTTTGCATGGCTATTTCTCATTTCCTGTTTTTACTGAGGAGGTATTGAGTGCTCTGAGTTTTAACTCCATGTCTTCAGCACCCCATGCCTTGGAACTTCCCTCCTCTGGGCTTCCTGGACAAGATGCCTGCACTCTCACCCCCCCCCCCCCCCCCCCACCTTTTTTTTCCCACCGCCACACACACACACACCTGGGCCTGCACCTTATTCACAGTAACTGGATTCCTGTCCCTAGCCCCTTGCCCGTCCCGGTCCTCGTCCTGTCCCCGCACTGCCAGGCCAGGAGCCTCTGCAGGCTGCACACCCGCTGCTCTCGCTGGGTCTCCCTGAAGTTCTCTCCTGGGTGCTGCTCTCCAGGGCTCCCTTCTTCCCAATACCTGCTCCGTTCCCTTCCCTCTGCCCTTCAACAGGATTTCTCAGATTCTCCTCTTAGCTACTTTTTCTTCTCATTGAGCCCGTGTATCCATTCACTCAAATTCAACCCAAACTCCCAGTTCCGTTGCTAATTTTGACTAAACTCTTATCGGAGAGCACCGTGGGTTTCTTGCCATCTGAGATGCTCTGAGATTCCCAGGAAAAGCTCCATGCTCCGTGCTCCTCTTGGCTCCTGAGCTTCAAAACGCAGCTGTGGCGCCTGGTTCACGGTAGGTCTTGACACCCTAATCTAAGTGTTGGAATGAGATGTTTTGAACTTATCCTTTTATCCTTAAAGGATCTTTGTAATCACATATTTCAGGAACTGAGTTATGTGACCTAAACTCTATTAGAACTTTATCTCTAAGTAGAGGACAAGATAAACTCTAAGGGCAGACCCTTTTCAGTCCTTAAAAACAAGCCAAGAAACTCCCCCGCCCCAAACCCTGATATTTATTTTGCACACAGAGGTTAAAAGCTTCATATAATGGCTTTAAGTACAGTTTAATTTCAATCCTCTAGAAACACACAATGCAGAAAGGAAAGCGAGAACCGTGCGACTACAAAACTGTGACAATTGCTTTCATGCATGGATTATGAGCACAGTCTCATTAATGAGAGTTCACATGGTGACTGTCTGCTTCAGCATATAGCTTATATTAGCTATTAAGGAAATATTGTTCCTCTAAGGCTGTTTTCAGTATATCTAAGACAGCAGTATAGTTAGTAATAATACTAACAGTGAATACTTATAGTGTTCATATTGCCAGGCATGTGATAGTTTTTCATGCTTGAGTCTTATGAAAACTCTATAAAGTGGAATATATTAGTAGCCCTACTTTATATATGAGAAAACTGAAACTCTGAGAGTTTAAGTAATCTGCTTATAGTCACCAAAAACACTATTCCTGTTCATAAGACCTATATAAAACACTTAGAAAATATATCACACATTTTCTATTAGTTAATATTTATGTCTAGGTTTTTTTTCCACCAAATCATACAGTTGTGCACATATTTATAGAAGAGGAAAGAAAGGAAGAAAATTATCTATTAAATCCCACTTGTTTCTAACAAAACAAACAATGGAAAACATTCTGTATATACATGGTAAGGATAATTTTAAATGATTACATCCATCATAATGTTCAATATGGTTTTCATCTATATAAAAATATATCTCAAGGTGTTGGATTTTAATTAAATTATATATAATTTTAATTTGGTCCTAGAAAGCTAGGTTATTGGTTCAGTAATCATTGAACTATATGTTAAATAATTCCATGACCATATAAAATTACAAACAAAAAATACTTAAATATGATTAAGGTTTGAACATGTTTTATAAAGTGAGACTATTTAACTTATTCTTTATTGTGAAATATATCATACATATAAAAGAGGGCAAAAATATTTACTAATAAGTAAAAAATAATTCATTCACTTAGTAAACAAATATATATTTTTGAAACTCAATATAGGGACTTCCAGACTCAGCACCGAAATGTAAAGAACTCAGAAGTTGTCATTCCAAACTGTGTGTCAACACAAGAAACATTCAAGCCTGTGAAGAATTTTTGTGAGTTTATTTGAGCCAAACTCGGTAATTGCCGGGAAGCAAAATATCAATAGATTAAGAGAATGGTCCAGAGAATGGCAGTTTTGCACCTTGTTTTATACATTACAATCAAAAGAGAAGACCTAAGTGTGTTACCTGAAATCCATTGGTGATGGATTAGGGAGTCAGGAGAAAGCAAAGCAGGGAAACCTCTGGGATTGGATAAAAAGTAAAATGATAGACACTTACCTCTTTTACACAGGTGGGTATAGGGTAGTTAACAGTCAACAATTAACTCAATAACAATGAGGGGATTTGTGCTCTCCACAGGGGTGCCTGTGCTTTGAGGGGTCTGATAAAAGGAAATTATTATCCTGACATTCCAAAGGTATGTTATCTTAGGTGCACAAAGATGACAGACAGGCTCAGTTAAGGTGAAAATTGACCTTTGTCAGGGAAGATTTCTAGCCTAGAACATGACTACACACCATAAACTGCTTTTAGTGACAAAGTTTTCATTTCAGACCATCCTTTGTGGTTACTTTAGTTCTCTAGTTTGCAAGGCCGCCGCGCACGCCTTCCCTGAGCTTGTGAGGTTTAATATGTGGCCTCTTTTCATCCATATCTGCAACAAGGAAATGCTGCTCAGACTGAGTCAGTGACTTTTCTTGGACCCATCAGAGAAATTGGGTTGCAGGTTGGTGACCCTGAACTCGAATCCAGGTGAGTCCTGGTGCTTCCAGTGAAAACCTGCTTACTTGGACCGGAAGTCCCAAGAGCCATAGATTGGTAAGGACACTTAAATGGTAATTGTGATGAATTTCTGAAGGCTGATCTTTCACGACACGAAAGAGAGAAGCTCCTGGGAGCCACCATCTCGGAGGAACCGCTCCCTCTGTGTGGGCTTTACCTACAGCAAGCCTACTCGACTCTCATGGTGAAGGGCTGAGAGTGCCTCTGGGCGGTGTGGGGGGGGGGGCGGGATAATAATTGTGAAATATGCCCAGAGCCTGTTGCATCACAAAGGTCTACTGTCCAGGAGAAAATACTTTGACAGAACTTGATAAATGGCTGGAAGAAGAGCTAGCCTTCCTGTCTCACCTAAGAGGAAAAGGAAGAAACAGTCAATATGAGTCAAGCGTCAAGGAAATGAGTTAGGAATGCTACAGCGAGGAGGGGAGATGGGGCCAAGGGAGAAAAGCTATTCCGCTGGAGCTATGTCTGTGAGTCACAGGCCCTGACACAGGCCCACAGAAACACTGAGACTTAATCAGAACACTGACAGTGCGCTCCCTCACCCATACCAACCAGCGTAATGTCAACATAAAAACACTCAAACCGGTAAAGAACTTTCGTGAGTTTATTTGAGCCAAACTGTGGAGAATTGCCGGAAGCAGAAACTCAATGGACTGGGAGAATGCTCCGGAGAATGGTGGTTTTTCACCTTGTTTTATACATTACAATCAAAGGAGGAGACATAAGTGGGTCACATGAAATCCATTGGCGATAGATTAGGGAGGCGAGAGAAAGCAAAGTAGGGGGGTGACCTCTGGGATTGGATAAAAAGTAAAATGATAGACACATACTTCTTTTACTTAGGTGGGTGCAGAATAGTTAACAGTCAACGATTAACATGACAACAATAACAATGAAGGAATTTATGGTCTCTGTCCTGGTGCCCAGGTACATATGGTTGTACCCCGAGGGATCCGGAAAAAGGGAAGTTACCCAGACATTTCAGAGGTACTAGTATGTTATCTTAGATGCAAAAAGACAATAGGCTCAGTTAAGGTAAAGATTGACCTTGTCAATGAAGATACGGGCCTAGGACATGACTACTCACCATAACTGCTTTTAGTTAAAGTTTAATTTCAGACCATCCTTTGTAGTTACTTTAGGTCTTTGAATTTGCAAAACTGCCACGCAGGCCTTCCCTGAGCTTGTCAGGTTAGCATGTAGCCCCTTTCGTCCATAATACCAATAGGGCTGACGTAAGATTACGATAGCTGAAGAAGCTGTAAGACACAGCCTCAGAATCTCTGAGTACTTAGAGAAGCCCAAAGGAAAGAGGGGAGAAAAAACAAGGGTGCTAGAGGACTCTGACACCTCTGGTACCAATAAGCACAGCCATCAGTAAGTACAGCCCAAACTCCTAGCCATGTTAACATCACTCCTCACACGGAGGGTCTACTCACCTCAGTTCTTAGATGCACCATGTCTGGTGTTCAACAAAGTTATGGCACTCTGAAAGGCAAGGGAAACATAGTCTGAAGAGAAAAGTCAAGCATCAGAATAAGACTCAGATATGTCAGAGATCTTGGAATTGTCTGAGTGGGAATTTTAAACTAATCCTGATTAACATGTAAGGGCTCTAATGGAAAGGGCAGACAAATGGAAGAACAGATGGGTGATTA